CTGGGTTTGACTTTAACAACCAAATACATATGTGTGACAACATGATGAATATGAAGTCATCTCACAGAAGCCCACCATCCCCCCACACCTCACTCCCCGTCTCCCCCGAAGCCACTCTAAACATATTATTCTGTCGTCTGAGTCTCATTTCAAACAGCTTTTAGTGTCCAAAGCAAACTCACCGCAGGACATCGGTACCAACGACAGAGCATCAGTCACCCTGGACTCTGTGTCTGTGTCTTTTTCATCCTGTCAGGGCGGACGTGGATGGAGGAGCTGTTGGTGCAGACTAGATGGTGACAATAGATCAAAACAGACAGCCGCGATGACGTCAACTCAGCCGCTCAGAGGAACCTTCCTGCGGTGAGGGCTTTGGTCTCACCCACAGTGGATGTTCTGCTCCATCAAAAACTACAAATATAATGTTGCTTCATTTATTTTATGATCAAGCGCCACTTGATGTCACTGTGACGTGTTCTCTTGCCCATGTCAACCCCTTATCTCCATAGCCTTTGGTTTTCTTTAACAGTTCTTTTGTTAAAACATCTGCCCTGTCTCACTGACCTATGACCTTGTAAAAACAGCTGACAAGAACAGGTCACAGTGGTCGTCTGAATATGGAACTGGTGATTCAGATCCATGGAGTAACAGGGAAAACTTTCATTGAAGTTTGGAATGAAGCATTGAGCAGCCGTAGTACTACACACACCTTCAGTGATTCACACTGAAGTATAAAACTTAGTCAGATTCTTTTCTGGTCTCCTGGTCTGTGCAGACCATTGACTGGATGTAGTTTGACTTTTGAACATTAGACATCGTTATTATAGTAAGAATGTAAATGATATTTGCTCAAGGTGCAGTGAAAGTCAATACAGTAACATTAACTCCACACTGTGTGGGTTGGATTTCCTGTACTTTGATTAAAAAGAAAAAGATTTCTTTAACGCTCCTCCTAAAACATTTTTTCTTAGATTCTGTGCTGAAGTTTTATTTTGTACTGTTTTATTTGAGTTTATATTTGAGTTTATGCCAAAGTTTTATTTTATTTTATTTCATTTCATTACAAGACGGTGTGCCAGTTTCCTGTGCCATGAACAATCTTTTTGATTGCATTTTTTAATATGACAGTGTGCCCCCCATTTCTATTAACTAACAAAAAATACAAATAATAAAATAAATGTGTACTATATTGATCCCATATTTGGAAAATTGTTATGTTAGCAGCAACAGGCTGCCCCAACAGGCGCCAAGCATGTGGTTCCTCTGCGTGCGCACGCTCTCGTTGCGTCACCACGTCCGCTGCCCTCCCCACTGCAGACGTTTGACGGGTTGAAAAATGTCTCTGTTTTTGAGCAGCTCTGATAAAGACTGATCCTGAATTAAGATTTCTGTCTGTAATTCCTCCTGTTGACAGACGTTGGCGTTGTTCCTGTTCATGCAGGCACAAACACACATGTAAGACAGGTTTAAGACTGATTCTGGAACCATAATCCCCGTGTGTTTGTATAAAGACGTATGTCATCCCACCGCGAAACCGTGTTTTTACTGCAATGTTTCCATGAGCCGCTGCATGCGCCGCCCTGCTGGACGCAAACGTGCAGTAACTGATGGCTCTGCAGAATCCTGTTTGTGATGTGAGGCTTCACTGATACACACACACACACACACTTGTATGTCAGACAGGCATGGCCAACCTGAAGTCATCCACAGCCGCCCGTCCGTCACTCTGTCAGTTTTCTTTCAGCTGAGGACTCACCACAAGATGTTTGTGAGATTTTACCCACAATTCCCAGTTGGGCAGAATCTGCACCAGTCTGCACTAGTTGTGGAGAGTCAACAAGGCCCTTTGGCACAGAAATATCACTCACAGTTAATCAAACCCTTTTGACTCATATGACTCCATGAATCCACAGGTGGAGAGTAATGAATTACATTTACTCACATTGCTGTAATTGAGTAGTTTTTGTGAGTAATTTGTAGTTTTTTTAAGTAGTTTCAGGACTAGGTAATTTTGCTTTTACATAGATACATTGACTCGAGTATTTCACTCTGCTGCATTGAAAAATAACTTGTTATTGAGTAAAAAAAATTACAAATACAACTGTGCCTGTCCCAGAGGACAGAGCTGTCGATGTAAAACTTTCACAGATATGGGGGTTTAGGCCTTTGGCCCCATCGGGACAGTGAAGATACCACACACGAACGGCCGAGTGATGTGACTTCTCCTCTTCTCCAGAGGTAAGATCAGAGTAGATTACAGTGGAAAAAAGACTCAGCACATTTATACTTTATTGATTTTTTTACTTTTTAACAGTGAGATTATATTAACCAAATAATTGAATTGGCTTGAATAGAGTGTATGTGCTGCTTCATAAAATCCTATACATTCTTTTTTTCATTTTCCTGAAAGTAGATCTTACAGTAAAGTAGAGCAGTACCAGAGCACAGTCAGAAATAATACACATGCATGACTTTGATTGTGGTTGGTCTCTAATGTGGTCATCTTAATTCCTGTGTAATAGACCAGCTCCTGACTGTGAGCTCGGGATGGACAGTGATACACCATCAGAATTACAGCTGGATTGTTCATGCAAACATTCCAGGTCTTTGGGAATTTGCACTTAAGGTAACGTTAAAGGATAATATGATGGTGGTAAATATGGAGGGAGGCAGCTCATGTTGTAGTCAGGAGGTTAAACATCATCCAACATTCTAAGTTTTCACAGTAAAGATGTGACTGTCGTGCAGTGTGTCTATAGCTTTGAGTGAACGACACAGAGATTGGTCCGAGTCCAAGTCGCCTCTCTGCTGCTTGACTTGACTGGACATTAGCTGGCTTCGTATTTTTGTGTAGCCTGATGTCGGCAGATGAGTGAAATAATGCCGCGTGTGTGTGTGAGCGTTGTGCTGCTGTGTGGGGGTGGTAGATTCAGGCTCTGCTGAGCAAGTAAACACTTGTTAACACAGTATCAAAGCATAGCAGTGACACTGTGTTGTAGCCAAGGATTACTGAAAAAACAAGTATGCAGGCCGTTTACTCTGCCCTTGCAGCTGAGAGTGAAAAACTGGTTGTTTGACTCCTGCTGTTTGACTAACAACACATCTGCATTCAGCAGTGCATTCAGTCACTCTGAGAAGCACCACGCAACGCTGGCAGGCTCCACCAAACATGTTGTCACTGTTCGACGGAATCAAACCTGAGTTCAGGATAGTGCAAATCGAACGCAGACACGTGTTGAGTCTGGACGGTCACTTTGTTCTGCAGCACCTTTAGACCTCATTGATAAACGTCTTCCTTATCTATCTATCCATCTATCTATATCTGCACATTACTGTGGTGAGGTGTTTCATTTAAAAAATGACCAGGGACCACACACTAACATTGTGATTGGCTGTGGTTTCTGTGTGGTTTCTGTCCTCTGGACCACTCTTCCTCTCTGATGGATGCTGTTGTCCCGGTGCTCTCTGTAAATCTTCTGGCACAAAGCGTGTTCCGTGTTTTACTTCAGCTGATTGTCATCATGTTGCTGCGGCCCCTCTCTTTATGGAGACACCCAAAACTTTCTCCCTCGCAGCCGTTGCTTTTCACACGCAAATCTTCCTCCCGTTCTTCCTACAAACTCTCTATTCAGAGCTTTCCCCCTGGAACACAGTGAAGTGTAGAGAAGAAAGGCGACTGGGAGAAGAATGGGTGGAGATCCTGGCCTGGAGTCAAACCTTCTACAAGTCAAGATTTGAAACTCAAAAACACTGACGCTAGCAAGCTGGAGAGCCAAGGTAAAATTCAGCTTCTTTTTGATTGCAATAGAGAGAAATACAAGAGTAGGTCGAAGTTCTAAGACAAGGTGTAACAATGGTCATTTCTGAAAATAAAACCAACTACCTGCTCCATCTGCAGACCACATGAAGAAATGACCAGAGAAAGTGGTTTCTCTGAAGGATGAAAACACTGTTTCCTCCATCAGAGAATTCCTTCTCTGTAGAATTGTGGAGGATGACCTTTGACACCAGGTCACAGCCTGCTTCTTTATCAGGTCTGAAACATACTTCCTTTAAATGTTCTTTCAGGAAAATGAAAAATCAGATGGTTTTTAATCCAAGACCGTTGATGAGCTTCAATCATTTGAACAAATTCTGTAAATACACTTGCAGTACTCATGCATTCCACTGGAGTGGAATCACTACAGAGGCCTGCAGTGCCCTTACTCCCTCCACTCCAACCCCAACAGAAACACACACTGTGCTGCCTTACACTGCCAATCAGTGCAGTTTTCGGAGTATGTTTTTTGTCCAGTCATGTTTGCATAGAAAAGCCAGGAAATCAAAGTAGTATTCAGGAGGAAGAGGGTGTGCCAGATCCTGTGCCCTGAACACAGTGTGGCCCCGGGTCCTGGCAACAGCCTCCCATCAGTGTCTGCATCAATAACCCTGCACCATTGTAATGGACACAAAGGCTGTCTCAGGATATGCCAGGAGAAATAATGTGCCACTCTTTATGCTTCCCTCGTTCTCTCACTTCCTCCTGGCGGAGTTGAAAAAGAAAGTGAACAGTAGTGAAGACCGAGGGAGAGAAAGGGGTGGTGCAGCAGCAGCAGCAGCAGCAGCAGCAGCAGCAGCAGCAGCACAGATGTCTTGTTTGCCAGTGTTAGTTCAGTCATTACCCACTGAAGCTGTGAAGACAGTCACAAAAATCAGTCAGGAAATCAAACACAGATGGGATAAAATACAGAACAAGTAAAGTGTTTTAAATATAAAAATTATTTATTGACAACAACACGTGTGGCCCCATGATTTCCTGTACAGCCGACTCACTTCCTGTGTTGGCGATCAATGACCACGTGATAGATTTACAAAGGTATTAGTACGGACATCAAACATCTACGTTCTCTTGGGTGGGATATACAGAACAGAGTCACAGGATTACATCCAGTACGAAACAAAAACAGAAGTATTACGTGTGAAAGCACAGA